CTCTGGCACACGTAGGACCTACACAAGTAGGACCCTGGTTCTACTTCTGGCACCACAAATGATCTCCTGAGACCCACCAAGAGTTATCCCGACCATAAATACAGAACCAGGAGTTAAGTCCTGAGCACACTGGGTGCGGCGCAGACAAAACAAAGTAACAACAGCAAAAACTATTTGATAAAATGAAATGAAGAAAAAAAAGCACTTCCTTTCCTCTGTGGATTGTTCTGCAGAACAGAGATAAAACATGCAGAATACCTAGACCAAGACTGGCACAAAATAGGTTCTCAGTAAAATATTCCTGATGATTAAGCATCAATGATGTAACTAAGGATACCAACACTTATGTCCTTTCGTGCAATTTCTCTTGTGATATAGTAAAAGTATTCTTTTGTGGACAAAATTGAGGATGTACATGGGGCTTTAGGCATGTTAAGCATAACCATTAACCCCAAGAGTGTTAAATAATCAACACCCAAACCCAAGTGCTCTTCAGGGCTGAGCAGGTGTATCCTGATCCTGACACTGATCACTGAGCAGGAGGGACTGACCCAGCTGAAACCCACAACCATGCAGAGAATTCCCAGGACCAAGCACGCACAGCTGACCGCTTCACTCGGGCTCTCTGCTTCCTATTCTCCTAGCAAGCCCTCTCGATCCTACCCTCAAATTAGCTCTCAAAGTGGGATCACTTGTCTCTCCCTTCAGGCCAGCAGCCTGGTGCAGTCCCTCACCTGGCCTCGGCCCAATCCACCGAACTGGTCCCCGCTAGAGAAAGGGCCTTAGCAGTGGGGTCCGGCAAGCTGCTGAATAGACAGGAACTGGCGAGAACCGGCTGAGGAATCCCCAGTGGATTTAAAATAGGGAGAAGTTATCCTGTAGAAATTGATAAATGCTACCTATTAAGGTGTTTGGGGTGGGGGGCGGGGGTTGTGTTGTTCTATTTTCCCACAGAACTGGTTTCTTAGAAATTTCTGGGCTTCTTCCAGTCAGGAGGAGATCAAAACAAACCTCTTCAGCACACTGACTGTGTGCCGCACTTCAGCCCCCTAGTCCCTCCCTCTCCTGCTCCATCACATTGGTCTTCCAATCCTGTTTAACTGCCATAAATCACGCTTCTTGAGGGGCTCAGAACAGCTACTTCATGTGTCTGGAACTCTCTCCCCACTTTCTCTCCTGCCCAGCATCTCCCAGTAACTCATGCGCCACTTCCTTGATGATTTCCCCGATTAAACCCCACACCCCAGGACTCACTACACTCTCACGGGTCACATTTAGCATAGCTGGGACTTAATATTTATAAGGACCAACTAATGACGCTTGCCCTTTTTCCAGAAAGGTCTTAATCAATAACCAAAATCATTTTAATTACATTCTATCCAGAAACAAAATAATATTTATTGATTGAATGATCCTGACACATGTGACATAAAGAGAACCATGGTTGAAGAGGAACACAGAACCATGGCGGAAACCCCACCCCCAACCCCCACTCTAGAACTGTTCTCTGCCCTTCTCTGACTCCCAAAGTCCTTGTCCCTTCAGGACTGGCAGGCTGCAGGCAGGGAGGAAGATGGACACCAAGCTCCAGGTGATTCTGAAGGGATACACTGGAAGCAAGAAGTCCTCATTTCTTTGGGCAGAAGCACCATGGTGGGTTAATGGAGGTGCCTAGCGCCAATCCTAGAACAAGGACAGATTTCTGCGGAGCTTCCTGGGAGAGAGGCTCATCTGAGAGAAGGCAACAAGGGGCTGGGCAGGCAGAGAGAGGCCAGACTAAAGGCTCCTCAAATGCCAGGATGAGGAGTTTGCTTTTTGGCTATTTCTACAAGTTTTGGTCCACACCCAGAGTTGTGCAGAGACTCTGGGTATCAGGGATCGGGAGCTGGACCTCCCACATGTAGAGTTCCAGCCCCCTTTATCACTCGTCACTCTGCAGACCTAAGCATTTCTTTCCCAAAGTGTTGGGGGAGGGGCTGGTGCCCGTGCACAGGACAGCATGTCCTGCTGACTCCTGGCATTTCTGAAATAAAGAGGAAGGGGCTTCAAAGTAATGATTCTACAAAACCAATCCATGCACACTCAGAATCCCAGGCTCCAACATATAAAGCCAAAAATAAATTCCATGTGACGATAACTGCCTAAACCCAGAGAACAGAAAGCAGCACTGTGAGCTAGAAATGACCAACTCTGTTTGAAAGAACCCAGATGATCCTAGTGGAGCTGCAAGAGATGTCTGCTGCGGTCACATCACGAGCACCCAGCCAGGGACAGGCAAGACCACAGAATGATCTGGCCCCTGGGGAAGCAGCTCAAATAAAGTTCACAGCCCCTGGCTCTGCTGTGACTCTAAGGTCCCCTCACCTGAAGGAAAATGTTGGTTTGCCCTTCCTCCTTGGCCACTGGGAGCTTGTGTTTGCTGACTGCTCCTCAATCTGTCAATTACCTTTGTTGCCTGATCAGACTCTGACTTGTAAATACTGTCTTTCTCTTCTCCTTAATGTCCTTTGCATGGTTAGTTATTTCAGAGCAACTGCTTTTTGTGTGGATACAGGAAGACAGTTAAAAAGACAAGCCTGTGGCTTGGGAGTTGATTGACTCCAGATAATAATATCTCCTGGACATCTGCTATTTCGACTTAACCCTTAGTTGCCCTTACTTCTTAGATCCCCAAAAGAAAGGTCCCGACAAGGATCTGGATGGACCCAGGGCAAGCGGTGAGATATGAGCTACCCTGGCATTGAAATGGGCCCGGCCAACATGCCATAATGCTTAACTATAAGTTAAGAGCTTGGTCATGGACAAATTCTGTCATGATCCAAAAGTAATAACTAGATTTGGACTCTGCTGGAGTTAACAATGATTGATCCAGCCTGAGCACTGTAGTCTGAGTCTGTGGTAAGATGTCCCCAGGAGAGCCACCCTAAAAGGCTAAAAGTGTCTATCACTGTGTCCATACAGAATGGTAAATATTAGGAAGGAGAATTAAAGATGCTAATTAAGTTGCAAGTCTAAGGAGATGAGAAACATACCTTAAGGGCTGTTTTGCCCTTGTGGGCTGCAGGTGATCGGGAAGATTGGAAAAACATTTTTGATCACGCTTCCTGTGGGGAGGCGTGGTTGGGGAGGCTTGGTGAGAGGATAAAAAAGAGCTGCTGCGGAGAGAGAGGGGGATTGACTGATTGAAGGCTTGATGGATGGATGGATTGGTAGGATTGATTGAAGAAGAGAGAGAGAGAGGAGACGAATACAGCAGGAAGAAAGAATTTCGCGGTTAGAGAGATAGGCACAGCGGGGGGGGGGGGGGGGGGAATTGAAGAGAGCTGGGAGAGACAAGAGATTGATAAACGGCAACTAATCAGCAACCAGCTTGACCCTCATTTTTCTTTTGTCCATCTAAGGCAACAGCCTTCCCACGTGAAGAAGCAGCTTGAGAGCACCGAACACGGGCGGCAAGAGAGAGTCCACGAATATTCTTTCACATGTAATCCCTGCGCGTGTGAAGGGCTTACACAACCCAAGAGGAGGGTTTTGCACAGCGCTGAGAGCTAGTGCAATTTTCACACTCACCCATCGGATTAGCTGTCAAGGTCACCTGCAGGACTGCACTCTGCCTCAAAAGAGTGGTTCCCAGTCCCCAGGAGCCTGCAAGTGCTCACGTGTAGGGTGGGGTGGCTATGCAAAGGACCTGACAATCCTCAAACCAGGGGAACCTCTTGTTCCCTGCAGCCAGGCTAAGGGCAGTGCTATGTCTCCTTCCCTTCAGTCCAAAAGCTGCTCAACAGCCCTTAATTAAAAAGCAGGAGGCTTGCTTCAAGTATTTCGATGGGTCTGAATGTTGGACCTATGAACTAATCTACTTGGTACGGTAACTACCTGCTGAGGCTGTGCCAGGGTCCCCGTCTTCCCCTGAGTCCATTTCAGCAGTACCAGGAGTGGCACAGGGTCCTCTGATCAATGATCTGAGGAAAGTGTCATCTAGTTCATAGTAGAAAAGCTTTGTTTCTGTTTTAGTTTTTTGGACTCCAATCGGGTAATCCCTGGGGTTACCTTAAAGAGCACCCTGCAGAGACCATCAGAACATGGACCTCTGGACAAGCAAACAGGCATATAGAAGAACTGATGCTTCAGTGTGAGAAACTCTTAAAGGACACCAAGAGTGTAAAAGCAAAAGAACCCGGCCAATCCCAAATAATTATGGCCTGGGGGACTGACTGTCAAGAGGGCCAGGGCACAAGTCTCACAGGTGGGCAGCCCAGACTCAATCCCAGCACCATGGGGAGTGATCTTCAAGCCAGGTACAGCCCCAAAATAGAAAAACGAATTAATTACAAATTCTAATCAGGCCCAGACAATTCAAAATTATAAAAATTATTAGAATACAGATTTGTATTCACTATCCTTAATGATTCTAATTTTTATTTGCATCCCAACATTTCATGCTGTGAAGTATTACAGACAATTTTGTGAACACATAATTAGTAAATATTTTCCTTAGTTTGTTTTGGGGGCCACACCTGGTGATGCTCAGCATTTACTCCTGACTCCCTGCCCACTCTAAGGGTGCTTGGGTGATCAATCCTGTGCCAGGGACCAATCGTAGGGTGCTGGGGCAAGGCATGCACTCTGTACTATCTCTCCAAGCCTAAAATATTAAAAAGTTGAATTTTAACATTATAATTATTTATTTCATCCTCTGAAGTGTTTTTTGCAAGTTCTATGACACGTAATATAATACAATACATTAGTATTGTATACATTAGCATAGTATATAATACAAGATAATCTAATGTTGGCATAGATAGATGATTAAACATAAATATGTGTATATATATGTATATTTGAGTCAGAAAGCTTTTTTTTTTAGCATTTTCTTAAAGGTGGCATAGTCTGACACTCAAGCTTGGTTCCCACCAACACAGCTCAGCGAGGGCCTGCCCAGGAACAGGGAGGGGCAGCCAGTGCCAGCTGGACCCCGGCCCTGCAGCCCCCAGTCCTACCTGATTGTGCCAGCGGATGACGTTGCCAAAGCCCCCCGTGCCCAGGCGCTCCTTCATCTCCCAGTTCCCACATGTCTGGGTTGGCAGGGAAGGCGACCAGCTCATGGTGAGTTGAGACCAGGGAGACACAAAGTCGGGCTGGAAAACAAGAAAACGGAAGATAATGACACCTGCCCCTCGGACTGTGCAGGGCAGGGCTGGGGGCTCCTTTCTGGACTTTCTGGGCCCACTCCTGTCCCCCCCGCCCACTCCTGTCCCTCCTGTCCACTCCAGTCCCTCCTGCCCAGTCCTGCCCTCTCCTGTCCCTCCTGCCCACTCCTGCCATGTCCTGCCCACTCCTGCCTTCTCCTGTCCCTCCTGCCCACTCCTGTCCATTCCAGTCCCTCCTGCCAGTCCTGCCCAGTTCTGCCCACTCCTGTCACTCCTGTCCAGTCCTGCCTTTCTCACGGGCGCGGGGACGGCCCGCTGTTCCCGAGGGTCCCGGCCAGGATGGGTCGGGGTCGCCCCGGCCCGGCCCGCGAATTCCGGGGTCAGGGTGAGTCGGGGGTCCCGGGGTCGACCCTGCCGGGTCAGGGTGGGTCGGGAGTCCCGGGGTCGCCCCGGCCCGGCCCGGCCCGCGAATTCCGCCCTGGCTGCGGCACCCGGCTGGAGACCGCCTGGAATCACCTGTCGGCGAGGGGCGGGGGTCCACCCCCGGCGCTGTCCACTCCGCGGCGGGGCGGGGTCGAACTCCGGGACGCGGGCACACCCGGAAGCGCGCGGCTGCGGGGCCTGGAAGTCGCTTCCGGCAGCACTTCCAGCGCTGACGTCACGAGCACGTGACCAGCCCTTAAAGGGGCCGCGCAGCCGCGGGGTACAGTTAGGGCGCTGCGGGAGTCCCGGGCGGCCCAGGGCGGACTGACGCGGCGAACGGAAAGAAGGACAGTTCTAAAGCCGGCCGAGAAACCGAGTTCTCTTTAGACGGTGACTCGGCCCGGAGCCCGAGGGCCGGGAATGTCCACTAAAACGGGCCGGACTCTCCTCGAGCGGGGCCCGGCGGGGCGCCCACGGCAGGTCCACGTCCAGGGCATGGAGAGTGACCGGTCCCTCCCCGCAGTAACCAAGCAAGACCAGTGTCCATCAGGGTTCTCTTCTCAGATCGGGGATGCTCCCTCCGGTCCTGAGATTAGATGACTGGCTTTCCCAGAAAGGATCATTTACTGCTCAGTTTCTCATATTGATGACATTAGTTCTAGTTGCAGATGAAAAAGGGTGTGTGTGTGTGTGTGTGTGTGTGTGTGTGTGTGTGTGTGTGTGTGTGTGTGTGATGGCATCTTACATAAATGAAACGAGAAGAGAGTTAATAGTTCACATTTTTTCATTTGTAGAATGCTTCCTCTGTACCTAGCACTGTCAGCTGCATTAGATTTCCTCATTCAAACCTCCAGGCACCCTACCAGTTGGGTAAAACTGTATTTTTGTTATCATCTCCATTTACAGACTCATTGGGAGGGAAAGTCTTTATCCCAAAGTCCTTCCAGGCTAGGAAGTGGATGATCTCATATTCAGACTCAAACAACTGTTTTTGGAGCCCATAACAGTTGTTCACAAACAGCATGGTTCACAAACAGCATGCTAAGGAATTCTGAAGAATCTGAGCTTGAAGATGCAGGTACACTATTGACCCCCCCAGTTACTTACCCACTCCAAGTGTTCGTCTCTCTTTAAGATGCAGGTGTCTTAGATTGAATTGCATTAAAGCATTTTTTGTTTCTGTTTTGGGATTACACCCAGGAGAGTTCCAGGGTTACTTCTGGCTCTGCACTCAGGTATCATTCCTTGCAGGGCACAGGAGACCATATGGGATGCCAGAGATCAAATCCATCTCATCTATGTGCAAGGCAAGCTCTCTACTCACCGTCTATCTACCTATCTACCTACCTACCTATCTTTCTGTCCTCCCGTTGTCCATCGATTTGCGTGAGCAGTCCCAGTAACATCTCCATTGTGAGACTTCTTGTTACTGTGTTTGGCATGTTGAATACTATCGGTAGCTTGCCGGGCTCTCCGAGAGGGGCGGACGAATCAAACCCGGCTCGGCCGGGCTGGCTGCACGCAAGGCAAATGCCCTACCGCTGTGCTATCATTTCAGGGCTGGAGCGATAGCACAGTGGGTAGGGTGTTTGCCTTGCATGCGGCCAACACGCAGAGCCGGGTTTGATTCCTCCGCCCCTCTCGGAGAGCCCGGCAAGCTACCAAGAGTATCTTGCCCGCACAGCAAAGCCCAGCAAGCTACCCGTGATGTATTCGATATGCCAAACACACTAACAAGTCTCATAGTGTTACTAGGCCCACTCGAGCAAATCGATGAACAATGGGAGGACAGTGGCAGATCTATCTTTCTATTGCCCATAAATCATTATTTAAAATAGACTTAAAATATTTTAAAATGCCTAGTCAAATCTTAAAGTTGATTTTACAGGTTAGGTTTCTGTGTTTGTTTAAAAATAAATCGACAACAACAACAAAAAAATCAAAGTTTAGGGGCCAGAGATAGTCCAAAGCGTAAGGCACTTGCCTTGCACGTAGCCAGCCTGGGTTCAAGCTCAGGTTCTCCCTCTGCTTGCCCGAATCCCTGCAGGAGTGATCCCTGAGCACACAGCCAGGAGTGAGCCCTGAGCACAGCCAGGTGTGGCCCCCCAAAACGAAACAAAAACAAAGTTTTATCTCATTGGGCCTGAGAGCAAATGCAGCCGGAAGGGCTTGTTGGGGTTATTGTGAGGACAGATGAGGTCAAGGTAAGGGTACTGCCTGCAGAGAACTCTCCTGCCTGGCCAACTGTCAGTGACCACAGTTAAGGGTTAGGGACCATGTCAGCTCAAAAGAGGGGTCAGCTGGGCCTGGTGCCCTGGACACTCTGGACTGTTCAGTCTCTCTTGATTTACGTACTGTCACTGCTAAGTTGCATGCTCACTCTCATAGCAGAAAGTGGAAAGAGCATGAGGAAATAGTTACAAAGAAAATCAAATACTCTCTGACATAGTTTAAAAATTATTCAATAAATGGTTTTAAAGTAAGTCATTTATTTTTGACATTTCTGGCATCTGTGAAAAGCCTATTTTCTGTATGGCATCATGCAAAAGTCCCTTATTACTTCCCTGGAAATCATTGACCCTAAGCCATTTAGCCCTAAGGACTGGCTCTGCACCACTTTCATTTAAGAGCTCATTGCTAAGCTCAAAATAACTTGATTTAGAGTTGAACATAAATCTTTCTGACAAAGTCACATGTTACTAAATTTTTTTAAAAAATTAATGATGACTGAGGAAAGAACCTCTGGATTTTGTCATGTCCCAAGCTTATTTATCATAGTAAGCCCTGTTTTCCTTCCAGATAAGACCTGTCATCTGCCTATATCTGATCTCTATCCTTCTGTAAGAAATATGAGCAGGTTATTTACAAAGATATTTTCAGATACAGCAGAAAACTACTCATTTTTCTTCTTGCTTTGATACTAAGAGTGCCATTTAGGGTAACCAAGAAGTTCTCCAGGGGCTGCAGAGATAATACAGTGAGTAAAGTCCTTGCATGGACTCTGCCGACCTGGTTCAATCTGTGTCATCACACATGGTCTTCTAGGCCCAATAGGAGTGATCCCTGAGCACAGAGTCAGCAGAGATACCTGAGCACTGCCAGGTCACCCCTCCAAAACAGAAACTCTACAGCAGGCTATTGTGCTGAGCAGCAGGTCAAGCTGTGTACACATCAGAAGCACCTTGAGAGGACCAGGCGACACAATTCTAGCACTAATCTGTCCTACTGTAGATGCAAGCCATATGGGCAATAATAAAGAGGTGTTGTTTCCAGGTGTTGCTTCCAGGTGTATATTTTAAAATACAATCTCTTGGGCCCAAAGGAGCTCACCAGGCTCAGGGCATGTTCTGCATGCAGGAGACCAGGATGTGACCCCTGGACGGCCTGATTCCCGGAGCTCTTCCAGGACTAGCTCCTGAACACTGGCAGGTGTAGTCCCCAAACCAAAATCCAATCAAACAAAATGCAATATTTTCCTCCAGGTAAATCAAAGATGACTATATTTTTACTAAGTCTTACTGTCATTCACTGAAAATACTTTGCTCTCACCAAACAGTGACTTGAGTGAGGAAAGGGTTATTTTCCTCACTCAAGTGAGAAACAATTTTCTCAACAATTTGAGAGCTGAGCCATGACAAGAAAAACTAATCTAAAAAACAGAAAGGCAACAAAAAGATGGTTTATCATGGGGAAGATTTCCCTGATCTGTGGCTCCCAGAATCAGCTCTGATTCAGCAATTTTAGCAACTGACATTCTCGAAATTTTATTTTATTCCAACCTTTCAGAGAGGGGACCAGGCAAGATAGGACTTGCTATTTCAACAAACAAAATGTATTCTGCCAGAAAGTTTAGAAAAACCGGTCTAGTTACAAGACATGTAACCAATCTTGCTTCTAGGGAACTTGGTGAGATATGGGGTGAGCAGGCAGTTTAATGGTGAGTATAAACAGCCCAGATTTTGGGGGCCTCACTACAGCACAAATTGCAGAGAAAAGGTGAAGAAAGAGCTGCTAGATGCTTTCTCTGAAACAGAGGCCTGGACCCAAGGTGAAGCTTTTCAGCAGCAAACTGGCTAGACCATTCCTGCTGACCTGGGTTAAAAATCAGAGCTGAGATTAGGTTTTGAGTTCCCTCTCTGAAGGAATGATAGATTGGGGGAAGAGATAATTTTTTTCCCACTGTCTTCCCAACCAAGGCCTTACTGGAGCCAATCTCCACACACTTGGATAAGCCTCAGACATAACCGAACTGGCAGAGGAACCCAGGTGTGTGGGACCCGGGACTGAGATCTCTAAGCCTGCACGGTTTGGGACTGGACCTGTCAGTAGCTAAACAGTTACACCCTCCAACTGCCGTGTAACCCCAACAAAGGCCAGGATCCAAAGATTATCACAACAAGCTCCCGGGAGCGCGCGGCCGCATTCGCGGCCGCGCGACTATTTATTTAATAATTTTCAGGATACCTTAAATATCCTTAAATATCCAACCCACACGGCAGAGCCTGGCAAGCTATCCGTGATCTATGCCAAATAGACCAAATTGATATGCCAAATCTAGTAATAAATGGATCTCATTCCCCTAGCCCTGATTATGCAGAGTCGAGAAGGATATGGAAGGAGAAGCTGATAAAACACCAAGGCAGACATGGGCTGCCAAAACGCAGAAAAACAAAAATGATTGTCTGTACTTTTAATGCTCGTACGCTGGCATCTGCTGCATCCATTGAAGACCTTATGGTACAAGCACGAAAGATCAAGTACGACATCATTGGTCTGACCGAAACGAGAAGACATCAATCCCATCATGCTGTTTTCGACACTGGAGAAGAACTGTTCCTTGGAACATGTGATAAAAGAGGCGTCGGTGGTTTCGGTATCCTTGTCAACACAAACTTAGTCACAAGCATTGATTCATTTGAATGCCTAACAACCCGAATCGGACGATTACACTTGAATAAATGTGGCTCACTACCGGCAGTTTCTATCTTTGTTGTCTACGCACCAACATCCAGTTATGGTGAAAAAGAAACTGAGAAATTCTACATGGAGCTGGAGAAATTCTATAAAGAAGATCACACCTTCTACAAGATCATTGTCGGTGATTTTAATGCCAAGATAGGACCAAGAAGATCAGTCGATGAACTCCACATC